TTGAAAGAGATCCCCAAAGGAAAACTCCTAGGGATATTATAGACAAATTCCAGGTCAAGGAGAAAATATTACAAGCAGTCAGAAAGAAACAATTCAAGTATTGTGGAAACACAATCAGTATAACACAAGATTTAGCTGCTTCTACATTAAGGGACCGCAGGGCATGGAATATAATATTCCGGAGAGCAAAGGAGATAGGATTACAACCAAGAATCACCTATGCAGCAAAACTGAGCATAGTCCTGCAGGGGAAAAAATGGTCATTCAGTGAAATAGAGGACTTTCAAGCATTCTTGATGAAAAGACCAGAGCTGAATAGAAAATTTGGTTTTCAAATACAAGACTTAAGTGGAACATGAAGAGGTAAACAGGAAAGAGAAAATCATAAGAGACTTATTAAGGTTGAACTATTTACATCCCTGCATGGAAAGATGATATGTGTAACTCATGAGACCTCTGTCAGTATTAGGGTAGTTGGAGGGAAAGAATTATAAGTATGTATATATAGATAGATAGAGGGCACAGGGTGAGTTGAAGATGAAGGGTCATACCTCGAGAATAAAATTAAGGGGTGAGAGAGGAATATACTAGGAGAAGGAGAAAGGGAGAGGTAGAATGGGGTAAATTATCCTACAAAAAAAAAAACAGAAAAGGCTCTTACAGTGGAGGGGAAAAGGGGGAAGGTGAGAGGGAATGAGTGAATCTTATTCTCATAGGATTTGACTTAAGGAGGGAATAACATACACACTCAATTGGGTGTGGAAATCTGTCTTATCCTACAGGAAAATGGGGGGGAAGGGGACAAGAGAGTAGGGGAATGACAGAGAGGAGGGCAAATTGGGAAAGGGAGTAATCAGAAGCAAATATTTCTGAGGAGGGACAGGGTCAAAAGAAAGAATAGAATAAAAGGGTGGGCAGGATAGGATTAAGGGAAATAGAGTTAGTTTTTCACAGCATGTCTACTATGGAAGTGTTTTGCATAACTGCACATATATAACCTATATTTAGTTGCTTGCCTTATCAATGAGGGTGGGTGGGGAGTGAGGAAGGGAGAAAATTTGGAACCCAAAGTTTTAAAAACACATGTTTAAAAAAATGTTTTCACATTCAACTGGGAAATAAGAAATACAGGAAATGGGGTACAGAAATCCATACTGCCCTACAGGAAAATTGAAGGGGAAGGGGATAAGAGAAGGGGGGGAGAGACAGAAGGGAAGGCAGACTAGGGGAAGGGGTATTTAGAATGCATGCCATCTTGGGGTGGGGGAAGGGGTGAGATGGGGTGAAAATTTGGAACTCAAAATCTTGTGGAAGTAAATGTTGAAAACAAAAAAATAAATAAAAAATTACCATAAAAAAAAAAAAAGAAAGTGAGATTTTAGCTGGGACTTGAAGGCAGCTTGGGAGGCAGGAGGCAGAGATGAGGAGGCAGAGCATTGCAGGCACGGAGGACAGCCAGAGTTGGGGAGTGTCTTATGCAAGGATCAGCAAGGAGGCCAGAGTCATTGGATGGAAGGATAAGTGGAGGGAAGTGAGCTGTAAGAAGCCTGGAAAGGTAGGAGGGGGCCAGGTTATGAAGAGTTTTAAATGCCAAATGGAGGATTTTCTATTTGATCTTGAAGGTGATAGAGAGCTACTCGCATTTACTGAATAGGGGGATGGCATGGTCAGACCTTTGATTTACAAAGATCAATTTGATAGCTTCATAAAGGACTATACCGAAGTAGGCAGAGACCTGAGACTGGGAGATCAAGCAACAGGCTCTTGGAGTAGTTCAGGCATGAGGTGATGAGGTCCTAGAGCAGGATGGTGGCAATGTCCCAGGAGAGAAGAGGGCACATACCAACAATTCTAAGAAGGCAGAATCTACAGGATTTGGCAGCAGCTTGTATATGAGGAATGAGAATGAGCAGCCCAGGATGACACCCAGGTTGCCAGCCTGGAAGTCTGGGAGAATAGTGATATCCTCCACAGTAAAAAGAAAGTTGACACTGATCAATACAATGATTCACCATGATTCCAAATAACTCATGATGGAAAATTCTACCTACCTCAAGAGAGGGAACTGTTGGATTCTGAGGGCAAACTAAAGCATATTTTTTCACTTAAAAAAAAAAAGTCCCTGAAGATGGACAACAAAATAGGCCATAATTGAACAGCAGGAAGTACTGTCTTCCTTCTATTATCGACTGCCTTATATTAAGGAATAGAACTCATATGGGAATGGTACTTTCAATTCAATCCAACAAACATTTATTGTGCTTATGTTATACCACGCACTGTACTACATGCCGAAGATAAAATTAATAAAAAGTCAGTCCCTGCCCTCAACAAGCTGACAATATAAAGAGGGAAACAACACACAAATGATTCCAAACCTCTCTGAAATAAGAATCCATTTTTAAAACAAAAGTATTACTCTAATAATGCTATATGACTATAAATTATGGAATACCACAGTCTTTGATAAATCAATCAAAACTGCAAGTTGCCCAAAAGGCCATGGAGAGACATATGGTAGTTATAAATAGGCTGTAATAAATTATTAATGCCGAACGAATACAAAAAACCACTAAGAGACTTATTAATGGAAAATGAGATGAGTTGGTCATGTAGTGTGCATAAGAGGTAGGAAATGTGCTCCACTAGTATTCATGTAATGTGAAGAAAGCTTTTAGTACGCAGACCTTCTAGAGGATTTGTGGAAACCCATGGACAAGAGTCACATAAAATAAGAAAGCATGGATGGGTTAAAATCTCTATCTTTGGAGGAAGAACCTATATTGATGAGCTGACAAGAGTTGTCTACTCTTCCACCATCTTCTCACCAGCTACCTTATGGCCTGGACTAGAAATAATGCCCAGGACATTTTAAACCTTTCGCTCTGGAACTTCTACCCTGATGTCCTGATTTGAGGTGACTTATGTGTGGTTATTATACCAACTTGGATGCTCCAGTCATACTATTCCCCTGATTTCCTCACCCCACTTTCCATAAGTCACATCTTTAACAATCATCCCACAGTTCCAGAACTATCATCAAATCCTTACTGCCACTAGTACTGGAAAGTGTGTCTGTTAATCTACTTCCCTTTGGTTCCACTCACCATTCTCCTAACGTCTCCTTAGAATGGACTATCCTCACTTTTGTTTTTATATTTCCAATGCTTAGCACAACGCTTAGCACATAGCAAGTTCCCAATTAATAAATTAATTCCTCTGAAATACTGAGGTGTAAGTTGGGTGTCTCATGTAATACTTTAACTACTTGGCTTTTTCCTTTTAAAAGGAGTAAAATAATTCACATGGTGATATCTTAGGATGAACTATTTTCAGTGATAAGGTTTGAATTTCTTGGATGAAATTTGCCATATAAATATCAGGTTGTGTTAACTTTGATTATGAAGTTTCTTAAAGAGGTAAAGGTTGGAAAATGTGCCTTATATGTGTATCTGCAAAAGGTATGCATTTGTTGGGTTACTCATAGAGGGTCTAAGTTCATTTGGATGAAAACAGATCCTCAGATTGATGTAACTGTTTTTAAACAAAGCCTCTGAAATGTTGGAGGGAAATGACATGTTGGCATGAGCAGGATGGTCTTTTTTGATGGATACTTTTATATAGAGATGGCTGAAGGGCAAGACATAAATAAATACCTCCCTTGGTAGCTCACAAAATTCCTTGGAATTTTCTTTGGCATATAATGTAATCCATAATCAGCATGCTAATTCTACAAATTCACTTTGTTGGTTACTTGTTTTAAATTTTAAATCCTATGTTGCGTTCCTTCTACTTATCACAATTCTGGACTGATTTCTATGGTCATCAGATAGCTTACCTTACATGAAGAGGTTACACTAATTTCATTATTATTCTGAGCAAAATATAATTAAGAAAATACTCTATAAAATAATGTTAAAATGAACCTTTAGAATAGAAATTGTTTTTTATCTGATATTGTCGATTATCCACAATACTAGTCATGTAGCAAACTGAGTGTAGATCAAAGTGGTATCCATCAATTAATACATCAAACAAGTATTTATTGGTAATCTAACACTGTGCTAAGCATTGTGTTTATACAAAAAAAGATCAAAGAAAGTGTTATCAGACTAGCAAATAGAGCACTGAAGAAATTATAAGCCTTGAATAAGATCTCAGAGCATATACAGAGAAGTGGAGGCATGGGGAAGACAGTAAATAGCACACTGAGAGATGATCCAGCCAGTGAGAACTCAGAACACAGAAAACATTCTTTTTTTTTAAAAATTTTTAAACTTCCTCAACCCCCCATTTTTAAAAGATATAGGCAAGGGAAGGAAAGTTGTTCATAGTGATCTAAAAATACAAAGAAAAATGTCATCTCTACTTAAAATTTAATCTGTACTTAAAATGTCATCTCTACTTTAAAAAATTTTAGAAAATAGCATTTCTGCAAAATTATTTGGCCCTAGCTAAAAATTCTAAACAACCTCAATAGTAAAATTAACTTAGGATGAGTTTGCAGTAATGATATAAAGTAATTTACACAAGTAATAATGGAATGTATCTTAAAATCAAAAGATTTTGGAGTTAGAAAGTGTTACTTCATTGCACAGACAAAGAAACTGAGATTCAGACGTATGGATGACTAAATCATGGCTGCAAAGCTAATTAGTAGCAGACTCTAAAACCCATTCTCTAAATCCCGGTCTAGTGCTCTTTCTACATCACCACAATACCAGATTAAAGAAGAGTCAAAACATATTATAGGTGATATATTAGTGAGGAATTCAACTAATTCAACTAGTTCTGGTCATAGTCTTAAGAGTTAAGAATTTAGGATCTGAGTATAGTAAGCAATTTAATTTTTAAAAGTCCAATTTGATAAACATTGAATGTTTCTTATGTGGAAGGCATTAAGCCAGTCAAAGCTATACACAACTACGAATTACTACATTTAAAATATACCCTTTACATCACAACACATAATGATATCATGAAGGAAATCTGAAACTCACAGTCAGAACTGAAAGCAAATCCTCCACACTGCATTCAGGTTTCAAACGATCCTTGAACATTCTGACAGTTGGGTGCTTCAAATAATAATAGGATGCAATTCGGCCAAATGTAAGTGGTTCAATGCTACGATTATCCTGTTTTAAAGGAAATGGAACATTTCAGGTATAAAAAACAAATTAAAAAATGAAGCATGAAGAAAACAGGTAGTTTTTAATCCAAAATGAGTGTATTACAAAAGCTTACTTGTAAAGTCAGGTATTGTACACTAAGAATATATTTTTTTTCCTCATAGAAACAATGTTATTATAAATTGCGGTTAGGTTCCTAGGCCAGCTCATCAACTCAATTTCAGCAAAATATAGCTGAAGTACTATACATATAAAATAAAACTGTAAAAGATATGGCATGCATTTAAAAAATAAGAAGATTTGCATATTTGTATGCATAAAACTGATTAGAGTATCTAAAACATAATAATACCTCATCAACAGTGCTCTTGGTAGACTACCCCGGTGACAAATCTTAATATACGGTTGGGAGTAGAAGTTCACTTTGAATCATGTCCATTGCCTAGCAGTCCCTAAAACATGGCTGGATTTTAGGAAGGGAATACAGAGGCCTTTTCTCCAAAGGGAGAAGGCCACTTTTAAAATTTAAACTGATATTGACTTAGAGTCATACCTCTCCAATTTTTTTTTTTAAATTTTCAAATATTTTATTTTTTTCCAATTAACATTTATTTTTTAAAAAAAATTTGAGTTCCAAATTCTCTCCCTCCCTGCCCTCCTCCTTCCCTGAGATGGTAAGCAATTTGATATAGACTATATATGTACAGTCATGAAAAACGTATTTCCATATTAGTCATATTGTGAAAGAAAACATAGGTACCCCCCCCAAAATAGGAAAAATAAAGTAAAAGAAGGTATGCTTTGATCTGCATTCAGACTCTATCAGTTATTTCTTCTGGAGGTGGATAGCATTTTTCATCATAAATCTTTCAGAATTGTCTTAGATAACTGTACTCCTGAAAAGAGCTAAGTCATTCACAGTTGATAACCATGTAATACTGTTGTTACTGTGTACAATGTTCTCCTGGTTCTGCTCATTTCACTTTGCATCAATTCATGTAATTCTTTCCAGGTTTTTCTAAAAACATCTTGTTTGTCATTTCTTATAGAATAATAGTTTTTTATCACAATTATATACCACAACTTGTTCAGCCATTCTCCAAATGATGGGCATCCCCTCAATTTCCAATTCTTTGACACCACAAAAAGAGCTGCAATAAATATTTATGTACATATAGGTCTTTTTCCTTTTTTTAAAAAATTGATCTCTTTGGTATACAGATCTAGTAATGGTATTGTTGTGTCAAAGGGTATGCACAGTTTCATAGCCCTTTTGGAGTAGTTCTAAATTGCTCTCCAGACTGGTTGGTTCACAACTCCACCAACAGTATATTAGCATCCTAATTTTCCCACATCCCTTCAAACACTTGTCATTTTCCTTTTCTGTTATATTAGTCAACCTGATACATACCTCTCCAATTTCAATACAATAGGAATATTCCAGTTCAATGAGGGCCTTTTCCACAAGGTTTGAAAGGAACTTATTCATGGATTCATGGCTCACATCATCCAGGTTATAATAACTAGAAAAGAACAAAATGATTACAACTAACAGCTTTAAGGCATTTTATATTAAATTATCTTAGTTAAAATTGATCTTAATAATAATCTTAAATAAAAATAATTTTAACTTTATATAGTGTTTTTCTGAGAATTTAAAAACATCTTTTTTATTTCATAGAAACTTGCAGAAAAAAAGCCAGAAATTATTATTCCCATTTTACAGATGAGCAAACTTACACTATAAAATAAGATCAACTGATTTGGTTGGCAAGTTGGTTAAAGTCACTGCCCTATGGGTAACTAAGTCGTTGACCTTGTTTTAAAATTACCAATCTATGTATAAAGTAATAACTTTATTGTGTTTTCTAACTGAAACTACCGCCGCCGCCACCACCACCACCACCACCACCACCACCACGACCACTACTATTACCATCGCCACCCATTCACTCAATTACTGACACAGATTTTATTACATGAAGCAGATAAAATTCTGAATTAAAAAAAAAGATAATTAGTTAAGTGCCCACTGTATAAAGACACTGTGCTAGGCCTGGTAGATATAGAAAGTTTAGAGTAAACTCAATCCCTGCCCTGAAAGAACTTACCCAAATAGTTTTATAGCACATAGTAAGCACTTAATAAGTGGTAAACACATTTGAGAACTACTAAATTAGGTGTATATGTTAATATTTAAAATATATTATAATGAGTAGGTAATAACTTATTTTTAAAATTGTATATCTAAACCTCTGACCAGAGTGAGCTATTATGTAACAAAATTATTATATTAATTGACAAGAGTGAACTTCTCATAGGTGAATTAATCACTGAGAATAAACTGCTCACTTTTGAAGGTGGATAAACCATTTAGGGTCCAAGGGAGCCATTTGGTAAATTACTATTCCAATGGCATTAAATAAATGTCATCCTGGGGCCTAGAAGGTGCTTCATCAGGCTTTAAAAAAATCCAACCCAGTTCTGTAGGGTACACACAAACTTTATAGAGTTTGCTACATGTTATGCATGTAAAAAAATCATAAGAGCATGTATTTTACTTTTTTTCACCTCTCTACACCCTCTAGAGAATATCATCACCCTTTGTAAATCCCTATGATTGGGAGGAATCTGTGTTCTGGCAAAGGTCCAAAAGCAGAGTGGCTATCTCCATACACTTATAGTAATCCTCTAATTGCTACTCTATACCCTGCAAGGTGGAAATTTGTCTCCACATCCCACCATCCCAAGAAAAAGTAAATGGAAAGGAGATTTAGGATTAGAGTAGTGGAATTTAGCTGTTCTCAAAGCTGGAATATAGGCAGAGAACTTAAACTATTTTGGAATATGGAAGTCATACTCATAGCTGTTTAAAAAAAAAAAGAAAAAAAAGGTGACTGTACTTTCAAATAAAGACAGTAGGCCTGCAAAGGGACTAGAGACTTCACAACATAAATGTTCACACAATTTAGAAATGCTGAGTAGAAGTACTACTGTTCAGCAGTCATTTCCCCTTTTTTCCCTCAAAGGGGAGGAAAATGGGCTCACTCTATAAACAAATACTGAAAATAAACATATTTGGACTCAGATTATAGAAAGAGATACTTAAATCAGAAATACATGAATTTGGCAAAAATATCTCCAAATATGAGAATTTGCCATTGGTTAAGCCTCATAAAAATCTCTTTCCTGAAATTCTGAATTGTGCATTTGTTATGATTAGTACCTTGACAGATATCCATTATAATGAAAAGTAGCAGAGAAAAGAGATAACTGAGATGGTTGTTAAAATGTCAAAGAGAAAGGGAAAACACGCTGTAATTCGAATATTTATCTATGAGGACTAAAGTACAATCATACATTAAGTATTTAATTTCCCCTCCCCAAAAGCACAAAAGATCTTATTTTCATTCTAATTTTGATAAAATTTAAGTATATTTTTTTCTTAAAGTTTTAGAATCACTTGAAAAATTAAAAGTCTTTTTTGGAAAATCTTTAGTCTTGTCCTAAAACAAACACTTATCAATGTAATAATGACCAATTAAACATTAAACTAGTTCTGCAGATAATTTAGACCAAATGGATTTTGCTACAGTCAGATACAAAAGGGTAAAAGAATAAAATTAGTAAGCATGAGAAAAATTAGCTCCTGGCCTGGTAAACAACTGAAAGAAGTCTTTAGTAAGAATAATGTTTTTCTGTTCTGGAAGTAAAAATAAAAATGCAGGACATGTAAAAGGACACAGAGTATCCCAAGCCACTTGGAGTTATTAAAAACATATTTCTTTCCTTTTTTTTTAAGGAAAAATGAAATTCATTAGCCAAACTTTTGGCAATGACAGCTCACCACATTCTTTTGGCTTTGCTGCTTCTATAAACTTTCTAATGCTGTATTTATAGTTGTTTGAACTAATACGCATTTAATAAGTTTCTTATAAATTGAAAACATTAGTGAAAATGTAATTGAATTGCTGCACATGTAGCATTATGATATTCTCGCTAGTAAAGGTTGTACAGTAAAGAAATTATTCTGCTGTACTATTTAAACAAGCTAAAAGGGGGGAAACACTGTTTAGGAAAACACCCATGACAATTAAAAAGTATTTCAAAAACACAAAAACATTTTTGAATTTGACGTAATTAAAAATAGAAAACAGTATGTGAAGGACTTGCAACATATTGGGTACTCAAATTGTTACTGATTTTGAAACACTGACATGTCCTGACTATTCTTGCTTTAATGGTGTCATTTGGGGGCAAAAAGATTTCTGAAATCACCAGTGGCTCCAGTAGTTGGTTAGAATTGCTCATTAGTAATTCAGTTTTTGTATTTTAAAAAATTTATACCTTCCAGATTTTGTTTTTCCTGTGATATACTTTAATGATATACATTTTACAGATGAAGCACGTTTATGTCTAGTCTATTAGAAACATGATGAGAATGATTTTGTGGTTTTAGGTATTATCTTTAAAACAGGTAAAGTGGGTCATAGCATATACTTCTTACATTTTTTAAATAAGCTGTTGCCAAAAAATAAAAAGGATAATTAACTGAAAACTTATGTCTCAGAGAAGGTAACACATCATCAGGAGTTCTGTACTGAAATAGTCAAAGACTGACTTGGTACAAAACTGTTACCACATTTTCTCCAAGCAACATATTACATTTTCTTACTGAGAAGCTTTCTCTCAATAAAGATCACATTTTTTTCAAAATTTGCCCCATTATGTATATGCAGAAACGTATGTGATGAGGAAACAAGTAGAATTAAATAACCTATCAGTATTTCATGTTTTACTAAATTTTTGTACAAGAATGCTTATACTAAAATACTTATATTTTTAATGACAGCAATTCAGAAATGTGTAATTGATAACTTTTTCAGAACAGTAGACTTTTAAAGTTATAATCAATGATGTAATAATAAAGACAATTATTTTAAAGCTTGTCTCTTTGAACAAAAAATGTAAAACTTCCTATAGAGAGTATTAGTGATTTATTTTAACCAATCTACAGAAAAAAATGTAGTTTTTCTCACTATTTGGACTGTGGTTCTAGATCCACTTAAACTATTTTCACATCTTACAAAAGAAATCAGACATTTGAAATAGAATTTATAAAAGTTACATCTAAAGTATACATTTTAACAAAACAAACATAATTAAAGCAGATAAAGATGGAAATTCCTTTTTTCCTAGTTAATAAAATAATTCTGAAACAAATGTATTACAATGTTTTGGGAATTTAGAACAATTTTCTGGATTCATACATCCTCTTGCAGTAGACTAATATAGTAAGCTTCTACAATGTGAACTGAGGTTGGTTGAACAATTCGTGTGTATGTGTGTATGTGTGTGTATGTATGTAGTCACTTGGAAGGGATTATATATCCTATTTTTTTCAATAAGGACAACCATTCAAATTATGCAGTAATTTAAAAAGCAAGTAGTATATAAGTAAAAAAAGGTATGTTTTCATTGTATACTTTTCACAGTGGAAAAATATAATTTATGGGTTATCTTAAGCTGTTATATTATACAACTGTTTAATTACAGATAAAGAATAAATACAATGCAGTTTCATGCTCACTGCATTGAAATCATCTAATCATTATTTTCCCTTTGCCATAAACAGACAGCCTACCTTTTTATCAGCATGCGATTTCATTTATTTCACAGTGAAACCCAGTTTCGCAATAATTGACTTGTCAGAAGCTCTAATTTATGAGGCTGGGCTCTGTAAGCCTTCTCTATATTGGACTCAACCTGCACACAAGCAGGGTTGAATATTTACAATGCTGTTAACAGGTGCTGAGTTGTTTAATGATTCTAATAGCCAGAAGCGTACTGAGAAAGCCAGCGGGATCACAATTACAGGCTGTTTGAACACAACAATTACTTGTCCCCTGAGAGGTGTGAAAGTCAAAGGCAGTTTTATACTGACAGCATCTAGCACATGGACTAGACAAGCTAACTTCCATTAGTAGTCCACTGGGAAAAAGTAATAACACACCCCCTACCTATCATAAAAATTCACAAAGTACATAAAATTTAAACAATCAAAAACTGAAACTAACTTTTTTATTATCCTTAAAATTTGTCATCAAAGGAGAAATCATGCAAGAACTACAACACATGAAGCCTGAAATTATTTTTCTAATCTCTGAAAGGATGGGAATTTTACCAGTTAAAAAAGATAAAGAGCTTTTTGCAGCAACATAAAACACAGATAAAGTTACTCCAAACAGTGTGGATTTAATGCAGATAGTGGCAATCATTTCCTGTCTAGTTTATGTAAACCTGGCCAGAGATCTCTCTGGGAAATTTTTCATCAGTTTTGAAATGCTGGTGCTATAACTGTCAGGACTGGGAAGTCATTTGTTACAACACCATGTTTTTTTATGTTCAGATTATGCAGCAGTAATAATGACACAAATAATGAAAGTAGGTTGCAAGGACAGCTGAAACTACCACAACATTTTTGTCCTACTATTATTTAAAAGGCTTTCTCAGGAGAATAAAG